CCCGCTCTTGTAACGAAATCGACCGATTTTTGTTTGGTTATTTCTTTAATTTAATGAAACAGTGAATGTAGCGTTGACCTATTGGGCTAGTATTCCCTTCTTAATGGTATCAAGAAAAGATATAAAACAAAACGAAAAGCATTTTAGCAAGCTTCACAATATAACAAATACAAACTAAACGTAAACGTTGCGGCTATGGAGCCTTCATCAGCACATACATAAATCAAACGATACCACACAATGGTACACTACTTAATGGTACAGTCATAGCAAGTCAAGACGATCGGCGTGCTGTTGACCGCATTATCCATGGAGTGTCGATTGGTCTACAAACAAAATCTGGCTATGCTCATATGTTAATGAGTGACGTCCAACCCCAACAGGAGCGCACAACGAGCGATACAGCTCGGTGACACAACGTGCCACCATTCGGATTAGGATCGCCAGGGTACAAGTCCCAGAAACTCCTTTTAATTGTTAGGGTATATTAGGATCTCCGATAACAGCCGGAAATGGATTTTAATAAAACGAAAAATTGCGTCTCAATGAATGAATGAATGAATGAATTTCTACCCCACCAGGACATCACACAAGCGATAAACACCCGATGACACAAAGTGCCACCATATGGATGAGGATCGCCGTGGAGAGGTCCCAGAAACCGCGTTCAGACAGTTTGCCATATTTATGGCCTGCCTATATTGCGGCCCCTGGCAAAAGCCAGAGTGGGGCTTCAAATAACAAAAAATTACGTCCTAAAAAGGACGTAAGGATAGTCATAGTACGTGTCCTAATGGGACTGCAAACGCTTAGGTAGGATCATATGTCCAGCATGTTAGTGGCGTTAAAAAAGGGGTCCTTTACTTTACCTAATAAATACCTAATGAAGGCATAGGCCCCTTGAGCAACCCTCCCCCTTTGTCGAAAATGTTTGAGACTCCCCCCCCTTTCCCTTCCCAAGCCCCCTCCTGTATTGTTTTCTTTGTATCAGCGACCTAGCAGCTGCAGCTCGCGGGAAGAAAGTGACTGCTTGTAAACTACTAAAACAATAATGTAGTGCTTTCCCTTTATTTACAAAATGTCCCAAGTGGCAATATTACTTCAGTGACGTGACCAGACGTTCGGATTTTTCTTGGACAGCTTGGATGCTATATCCCGATGTTGTTTAACTTACCTTCTAGTAAAAATGGTCAGGTTTTTAGACTTCAATGCGGTAACTTATATTAAGAGAAAGACCATTACTTAGCTTAAAAAAAAAAAAAAACGGGTTTCCTCTTCCAGTACTGTAGTCTGTAAGATTAACAACTCAAGAATGAGAATCAAATATAGGTTACATTCACGTTTCCCGGTCAATTTACACACTTTCTCAGTCTGGTCAAGGTCAGACGGGTGTCACGTTGTACTGTTTTTTTTTTTCGAAAAGAATCTCTCGTGGGACCTAGGCTCATACTATGGGTAGGGGGGGGGGTTTGGGTTAGGGTCAGTTCTAGATGTTCTGGGATCGATGAAAGCTGTGTCGTCGTGTAGTATAGAACATTTAACATCGGCGCTGCTGTAATTGGGAGTAAGACAACGTGACACTCCTCTGACGTAGAACAGTCTGGGAAAGTATGAATGAAAGGCCAGCCAGTGTCTAAATGGGCCGGGAAACGTGAACAGGACCCAGGTACTAATCGTGATAAGCGGCCCAAACAGAGTAGTATTGGACTAGTTTATGTTACAGAGGTGTCAAATATTAAACACACCATTACACTCGCGACGAATTTCAGAAAACAAAACAAACACTTCCCACATTCGGCCGGCCGGTCACGTTTAACAGCACCCCCCAGGCAGTTCCTAGTACCCCGCCCAGGCTCCTACCAGACACACTTTGGTCACACTTTTGCGTTCCGTGTTAATACTTTTAGGGAACTAGGACCCAGCTCCACCCACTTACACACTAGGTCACCTTTCATTGGTGCTTCGTCAGGCTGGTCAACGTCGCTCAAGGTTACAGGGGTGTCCTGGTGAACCGTTTTATTCAAAAAGCTTTTTTTTGCGTTGTCTTCACCGGCCGGCGATAGCGCGTGTTGTATATTTCAGCACGTCAGTACTGTTAACAGTGACACAACATGCAGAACTGGCCCTAACACCAACCCCTCTAAGAGAGTGCAGCCTACGTCCCACTCATTCTCTCTCTCGGACGGAAAACATAAATAGAAGACAACGCATACATCTTTTCCAACAAAACATGATACCGGGACTTAAAACGCCTAAGCCAAGGACGCTGCAATTAAATGGGCATGTTATAAAGTGATTAGATTTTAACGGTAGATGTACAAACTCTTCAGTAAAACAAACATATCCTTTTCATTTTATATAATAATTATTAAAAAAAATATTTTATATTAAAATAAAAAAAAAAAAAAAATTAAAACAAAATGTAAGTATAACGGTTTGTTACAAGCACAAATGAACTCTTTCAAAACTACCCCTGACATCCCCTTGGGAAAGAAGGGGGAAAAGAAGAAAAGTGGGGGGGGGGGGGACCCTTCCCAAGTTGGAGACAGCAGTTGAAAATTTCTACTGGATGCGACAGCCGGTTCTTAGTCATAACTTTCAACATACCTTGTATTTCAAAGTTGTACTATTTTTAGCCTTTTCTAATATGGGTTTGCAACACACCGGCCTATTGCATATCCATTAGCAAAATTACAAATTAAAACTCAAGAAATATATATGAACATTGCGAAATGCGAATCCAAAAATAAGAAAGACAAAACGACAGAACCAAGTGATAGGCCACAGTTAAAATTGGAAAAGCATCAGAAAGTATATAAGAAAATTAATTAAATATAAGAAATCAGTGCCGGGAAATCTACAATCAGATATTAATTAAAATCTGGCTAACTGTCCAAATTACAACACAGTGTTTGCCTCATTTATATATAACATTTATTAACATCTCGGTTTTTTGGTTGTTTTGTTGTTGTTTGTTTTTATGTAAAATAATATTTAATTAAAATTTTTCATCACCACCATCGTGTTCCTCCTCCTCCTCATCATCATCACCATCATCATCACCATCATCATCATCATCACCATCATCATCATCATCATCACCACCATCATCATCATCACTATCATCATCATCATCATCATCACTTTCATGACCATCATCATCATCATCAGAAACCGCTTTTGGCGTTTAGCAGCGGGGGGAGGAATAGTTTGCGACCGAGCTTACGTTGGCTGGCACTGGTTATTGTCACAGAGTGAAAGTGTTTTGTCTTTAATATTGTCGATCCATATTTTCGTTGCCGTCCTCTTGATCTTGTAGTTGATCTTCTGAGATGTGTTGGTATTTGATGTTGCTACATTCTAACGAGATGGCCAAACTACATTGATCTTGTGTGTGTGTGTTTGTGTGTGTGTGTGTGTGTGTGTGTGTGTGTGTGTATGTGTGTGAATCTAGTACAAGATGATGTTCCCACAATCTGTCTGATAGTATCATAATTCACTCGATCTCGGATGGAGAGATTGAGGGCTTTTCTCAGGCGTCTCATCACGCAAATGGTGGTTTTGTGTAAATGCTATCATCTCTCTGCATTTGTGTGTGTGTGTTTGTGTGTGTGGGGGCGGGGAAGGGAGGGGGTGGGAGAGGTGAATATCATATCACGGCATAATTTGGGGGGGGGGAAGGGGTGTCGCGTGCAAATGTGCACTAGAACGCACCAGTACTGAGTGAGCTAATGAGACGTCAAAACAATACGTCAGGTCGTGAAGGGATTGTATTCTAGGAGATGAAAGTCGAAGTTTGACCAATGCGGACGTCTGGTCCGGCCTTGGTGTGGATCCTTGAGGATGCTTTACCCCGGGATGCCATGGAAGGAATGATAATCAAGTTGGATCCTTGAGGATGCTTTACCCCGGGATGCCACGGTAAGAGTTGATGTTTACAGTCCGAAGGAGACGGACGTGTGGATCCCTGAGGACGCTTTACTCCGGGATTCCACGGAAACAGACGTTGCATACAGTTGGATCCTTGAGAACGTTTTACCCCGGGACTCCACTGTTAACCTCAGCAGAAAGCTGGTATATAGTCAAAGTTCGGCAGTAAGTCGGTATACTTACATTACTTAATTCAGACTGCGGAACAGAAGACAGAGATGACAGTCTGGATCTCAAGGTCGGACTGCGACCCGTCGAGTGAATTCATCAGTCCATGGATGTACGAGCGGGCTTTTGTTGATGTGCTTGAATGAGTCTGGATTATTAATTGCATATTTTCTCCTTGTGTTGATCATTGCTATTGTCAATACACAAATGGAACCTTTAAAGAGTTCTCGTTCCGCTACGCTTGGAAGCTTCAACATTCATTATGTTGTGTTACACTTGGCCAGTGGCATATTAAGTTGTTGATGCCATTTGTTACATTGCGATGCCCTTAGTCACTTTTGGTACGCCGCACATCACCACGCAGCCTTTACAGCACGTCACACTGTACGCCAAGCTTACGCACGTCACAAGGGGGGGGGGGGGGGAATAGACCCACTGCCCGCGTAACACACAGGTCGTACAAGACGACTAAATGGGATGTTTTCTTCGATGTCGTTGTGCATCTGCATGAAAGACGAGGAACCAACACTCTGCACAAAAAAAATCAGATCTGTAAAACGGATGTGCATGAAAAACTCGATTTCTGGAGCAAGACCCGAGTCCAGAAGTGGATGAACCAAAACTTTCTGCCGGAGTTTACTACCGATGAACGCTAAGAAGAAGAAGAAGAAAAAGAAGAAGAAGAAGAAGAAGAAGAAGAAGAAGAAGAAGAAGAAGAAGAAGAAGAAGAAAAAGAAGAAGAAGAAGAGGAAGCAGGAAGGAAGCAGGAAGGCAGCAGGAAGGCAGCAGGAAGGCAGCAGGAAGGCAGCAGGAAGCAGGAAGAAGGCAGCAGGAAGAAGGCAGCAGGAAGAAGGAAGCAGGAAGAAGGAAACAGGAAGCAGGAAGAATGAAGAAGGAAGCAGGAAGCAGGAAGAAGGAAGCAGGAAGAAGGAAGCAGGAAGAAGGAAGCAGGAAGAAGGAAGCAGGAAGAAGGAAGAAGGAAGCAGGAAGAAGGAAGCAGGAAGAAGGAAGCAGGAAGAAGGAAGCAGGAAGAAGGAAGAAGGAAGCAGGAAGAAGGAAGCAGAAAGCAGGAAGCAGGAAGAAGGAAGAAGGAAGCAGGAAGAAGGAAACAGGAAGAAGGAAGCAGGAAGAAGGAAGAAGGAAGCAGGAAGCAGGAAGAATGAAGCAGGAAGCAGGAAGCAGGAAGGATGAAGCAGGAAGGAGGAAGCAGGAAGGAGGAAGGAGGAAGCAGGAAGGAGGAAGCAGGAAGGAGGAAGCAGGAAGGAGGAAGCAGGAAGGAGGAAGCAGGAAGGAGGAAGCAGGAAGCAGGAAGCAGGAAGCAGGAAGCAGGAAGCAGGAAGCCTGTTTCATCCAATATATCGTCACAATATCTTGAAACATATTTCACAATTACTTCCTTTTAATTTCATATTTTTTTTTAAAGTTTCTTTTATGTTTACATTTTTATCTATTTTGTGCAAGTTCAATTTCCCCTCTTATTACATATTCAACAAGAAGAAGGAGGCAGTATAAGATAGTTAAGGACAATACCTCAAATTTATTCTTTCTTTAGGGAAAAGTTAAATTAATTATTACATTTTTAAAACCGCATTCTGGATAAAAACGCTTACCACACTGTGATTTATTTTTAAAGTTATTTTTGTCTTCTGCTTTTTTTTTTTGGATTCATGTTATATTTTGTTTTGCCATTGTCATCTTTAGTTGATATTTTCATAATATTTCTCGCACTATTTTGTGCACTGGCTGTTCAAGATAAATTTTCTGTTCCCAGCAAGAGGCTGATTCCTTTAAATAAATGGTCCGAGCTCCCAGCTCGACCGAACCTTAAATAGGTCCTAGAAAATGTGGGAAGTAAAGATGTCAGAAGGTGATGTTTACCACAGAATCTGTCAAGTTCCCATATCCTCTATCAAGTACCTACATCATCTGTCAAGTACCCACATCATCTATCAAGTACCCACATCATCTGTCAAGTACCCACATCATCTGTCAAGTACCCACATCATCTATCCAGTAACCACATCATCTGCCAAGTACCCACATCATCTGTCAAGTACCCACATCATCTGTCAAGTAACCACATCATCTGTCAAGTACCAACATCATCTGTCAAGAACTCATATCATCTGTCAAGTACCCACATCATCTGTCAAGTACTCGATTTCATCTGTCAAGTACCAACATCATCGGTCAAGTACTTACATCATCTATCAAGTACCAACATCATCTATCAAGTACCCACATCATCTGTCAAGTACCCACATCCTCTGTCAAGTACTCACATCATCTGTCAAGTACCCACGTCATCTGTCAAGAACCCACATCATATGTCAAGTACTCACATCGTCTGTCAAGTACCACATCATATGTCAAGTACCCACATTATAGTCAAGTACCTACATAATCAGTCAAGTACCCACATCATCTGTCAAGTACTCACGTCATCTGTCAAGAACCCACATCATATGTCAAGTACTCACATCGTCTGTCAAGTACTCACATCGTCTGTCAAGTACCCACATCATATGTCAAGTACCCACATTATAGTCAAGTACCCACATCATCTGTCAAGTACCCACATCATCTGTCAAGTACCCACATTATAGTCAAGTACTCACATCATCTGTCAAGTACCCACATCATCTGTCAAGTACCTACATCATCTTTCAAGTACCCACATCATCTGTCAAGTACCCACATCATCTGTCAAGTACCCACATCATCTGTCAGTTACCCACATCATCTGTCAAGTACCCACATCCTCTGTCAAGTACCCACATCATCTGTCAAGTACCTACATAATCAGTCAAGTACCCACATTATCTATCAAGTACCCACATCCTCTATCAAGTACCCACAGCATCTGTTAAGTACCCACATCATCTGTCTAGTACAAATTGGTTTATATTTAAAAAATGGGGCTTTACGTTTTCTGAAACAAAATGCTGAGTCAAATGTTAAGAAGCAAATAAAGATGTAATGGGGCGTAGTATCCGCTGTTAGGTAGTTATTCGATAGATTATCCTTACTGCACATCGGACAAGTCCCTAAGCGATAGGATCCCATCTTCAGTATATTCCTTCAGCGTGTGGCGACCTTCGTCATGAAGACAGCAAATACGCTAAATCCGCCACACGCTGATAAACATATTAGCAAAGACGGCTTAAGCTCAGATGCACGAAACTCCGTGGCACTGGCGACAAACTTAAAAAAAAAAAGTTGAACTTTCTTTGTTACTTTTGCATCCCATTAACTATAAACAATGCACAAATTCCATTCTCTTTATGTATAATTAATGGCGGTTAGAAAACACAACAATGACGGCTGCCATCTTGCCCCAGAAGTCCCACCGTGTGAGGTATAACTAATTGCAGCAAGAGTATTTATTGTCCGGACAGATATTAAATGTAATAAACAAACAGACAATGTATTGATCGGCACTCGTAGAAAGAAGCAGATTTATTGTCTGGATAGAAGACGTTACATTCCTCCTTCTACTGTTGATTCGCCTACTCCTCTTTCGCTGTGTGGCAATGGTTATCATGTCTCCAACAGCATTTTGTCTATGTATTGATAATCATTTGTAATGCAGACATTCTTTCATGCAACAATGCTAATCTGTCAAACGATCTCTCGCCTGTTCTCCTCCTTCTTTCTCAAAGCCGACACAAGATTAGGCATACAACATTTTTTTGGGGGTGATATATAGTTGTTATTGTTACGTATCCATTGTCAGCTCTGTACTATATAATGAATGAAGTAATTCAGTTCACCACAAAAGAGATAGCTACAGGAACACTCGGTCTAGACAAAGAGGACATTTAAATAATGCAGACACAAACATAACATTGCATAATTTATTGCCAGGCATGTTTCGCTGTATCTCGTCAGGTGCGTTACTATAGTTACACATAAAATGAAGCACACAGAAACTAAAAAAAAAAAAAATGAATAAATCCAAACTGAAATGCGATGTGATGTGTCCGCGTTATTTAACAGGAAAACATTGTTTTTAAAGGGGACATTCTGAAGACAATTAATGAACCAATTCTGTTAGAAGACACGATATTAGATGAAATGACATGTGTAGGAATGTGTGAACGAGGAAATAGCTGTGGATAAGACAAGAAGGGAATATGAGACTGACTGACTGACTTTCTACCCCACCAGGAAATCACATAAGCGATAAATACCCGATGACACAAGTGCCACCATGCGGGTGAGGATCACCGTGGAGAGGTCCCAGAAACCGCGTTTAGCCTTTAAGCCATATTTATGGCCAGGCTATATTGCGGCCCCCGGCAAAAGCCAGAGCATGCTTCAAATGACGAAAAATGTCATCCTAAAAGGGACGGGAAATTATAGGGGAATATGACAGAAAGACAATGACTTATGTATGAGCAGTATGCTAAAGGACAGTTTGCTTCTTCAATAATAATATTTGCTGTGGGAGGCGAAGTGCTTATGTGTATGCACAGTATGCTTTAATAAACAAAGTAAAGAACAATTTTCCACGTCTTCGGGCGTTTTGGCGTATATGCCTAGACCTATATTTTACAGCCAATCGGTGAGTGATGTAGCCAGCATCTCGACTGCACCTAGTACCTACTTAAGGCTGGGTCGACCGGGGAGGGACTTCATTTTCGAAAAAAGTCCGGCTTTGTCGGGACCCAAACTCAAGACTTTCCGATTCAAATTCGAGCGTCTAGCCGCTACACAACTGTGAGCTATGATGACGACTGTTTAATCGGTAAATGATCTAATCTTGAATGCGTTGATTTGTTGCTTCCACAGATGAATCTACTGAGCAGTAGGTTGTTCTTTCTAAGGACTTGTACGAGTCTGAACGCGATATTCTTATAGTCAACGCTAAGAGAATAAGCAGTTATGTCTGTCCACGGCTGGTCAGCGGTTACCACGTCTGGCTCTCATGTGGGAGATCCGAGTTCGACCCCAGTAAAGTGATGATTTTTTTTAAAATCAGTGAACACAATTAAACAGCCTAGCCTGCACAGTCCGTGGCGACAGCTCTAGCCATGTGGCACTAAATCCTCAGGCTCACGACCCTCTGTCTATACCCGCTCTAAAAAGTGGTAAATACAGTCAGTAGTGACAGACTGTCATTGTAGTTGTGACACAGTTGTATCTTTCACATCTCCCCAGGTCTAGATGTGCCTAATTCGGAACATAGTATGTGATGGATACAGTTGGTAGCTCTCTTGATCGTACTCAACAACACGGCCAGTGATGTAACAAACTATTACAAATGTGTTTGTTTAATTCAACAATATTGTCAAGTCAAGCAGTACGAATAATTTCATTAACCAACATTTTATAAACACTTCATTATCTTATTGTTGGCTATTTATATGTCTCTCTATAAGTTCCTTAATCACTCTTCTAGCATGTATGCATTCTTCATTTAACCCCTTCCTAAACTCTATTTCATCACATAGTGACAGTGACAGTCTACACACAGTCTTTTTTTTTTAGCATTCCCGACTGTAAATTCTAGCAAAAGGTACTGTCTGTTCATCCACTTTTGCATTTTAGTTTTGTTGCAGAACTGGAATATTGCGTGCACATCCGTTTTGCAGATCTGCGTATTTGTATGCACATTATTGGTTCTTCGCTTCTTAGGCTGGTGCTGTCCGACGTCGATGGGAAATCCTTAATTAAATATTACTAGGGTGTTACGAAATTCTTGATAGGACGACAGTGGGTGTATTCTTTATCTCCTTAATGGCGACCTGGAACCTTCACGGAAACAAAGCTGTAGGTCCCGTGTCCTGTCAATTATTTATCGTACATACGTTTTTACCATTTCAAAATGTCAAACTGATCATCACACATCGTGATTGTTACTGATTCAGAAAGCATGCTGTGGAAGGAGAGGAAAGGGATGCTTCGTGCAGAGTGGCAAGCTTCGCTTTGAAGGTTATGGCGAGGAGTATTGTCTTGATCTTTTCTCCAGGGTATGCCGGTGCGTTGGTAAATTAAAAGGCGGACAGACTGGGTGGCTGTGCACAACTTGGTGGAATATTCATAGATGATGATATTTTAGACGTGGTTAGGGCTAAGGGCCTTATGTGAGAAAGTATACAATTCAGAGCAGCAAACCGATTACCACAGTGGTGAGAATGATGCAGCGGGGAGTGACAAG